GCTGGTTTTTGGGGTTGGAGGTGCTGGTTTTGGGGGGTGGAGGTGCTGGTTTTTGGTGATCTCGGTTCTCTCGGTTCTCTCTGGCGCAGACGGGGGCCTGGAGGAGATGGTGGAGGAGTTGAACAGCGGGAAGGTGATGTACGCCTTCTGCAGGGTGAAGGACCCCAACTCCGGCCTGCCCAAATACGTCCTCGTCAACTGGGTGAGTGCGGACCTGGGGGGTGGTGGGAACAGATCCCCGCTTCTCCCTTCGGTTCTGTCTCAAAGCTTCTGCTGGGGCTCCATGGGGTTCTGGTGGGAATCAAAGTTATGGTTGGACTCGATGATGTTCTGATGGGACTTGAGGTTATGGTGGGACTCAGTGGGGTTGTGAGGGTCTCCGTGAGGTTGTGGTTGGACTCCCTGAGGTTGTGGTGGGACTCAGTGGGGTTGTGGTGGGACTCCATGAGGTTCTGATGGGTCTCAATGGGGTTGTAAGTGGGACTCGATGGGGTTGTGGTGGGACTCGATGGAGCTGTGGTAGTGCTCAAGGTTGTAGTTGGGGTCCATGAGGTTCTGATGGGTCTCAATGAAGTTGTGGTGGGATTTGATGAGGTTGTGGTGGGTCTCAGTGAGGTTGTGTTGTGGGACTCAATGAGGTTGCAGTGGGAATGAAGGTTATGGTGGGACTCCATGAGGTTGTGGTGAGACTCAGTGAGGTTCTGGTGGGACTCGAGGTTATGGTGGGACTCAGTGGGGTTGTGGTGGGACTCGATGGAGCTGTGGTAGTGCTCAAGGTTGTAGTTGGGGTCCATGAGGTTCTGATGGGTCTCAATGAAGTTGTGGTGGGATTTGATGAGGTTGTGGTGGGTCTCAGTGAGGTTGTGTTTGGATTCCATGAGGTTGTGGTTGGTCTTGATGAGGTTGTGGTGAGACTCAATGGGGTTCTGGTTGGACTCAAGGTTCTGGTTGGACTCAATGAGGTTGTGGTGAGACTCAATGGGGTTCTGGTTGGACTCAAGGTTCTGGTTGGACTCGATGGGGCTGTGGTAGGACTCAAGGTTGTGGTTGGGCTCCATGAGGTTCTGATGGGTCTACAGTGGGGTTTTGGTGGGACTTGATGAGGTTGTGGTTGGGCTTCATGAGGTTGTGGTGGAACTCAGTGGGGTTCTGGTGGGAATCAAGGTTATGGTGGAACTCAGTGGGGTTGTGGTGGGACTCAATGATGTTCTGGTTGGACTTGAGGTTCTGATGGGTTTCGGATGAGGCTGTAGTGGGACTCCATGAGGTTGTGGTGGGACTCAAGGGGTTGTGGTGGGACTCCATGAGGTTGTGGGATGAGGTTGTGGTTGGACTTGAGGTTGTGGTGGGACTCAGTGAGGTTGTGGTGGTACTCCATGATGTTCTGGTGTGACTCCATGATGTTCTGGTGGGATGATGGATGGTTCCTCCACAGACGGGTGAAGGCGTGAACGACGTGAGGAAAGGAGCCTGCGCCAACCACGTCAGCACCGTAGCCAACTTCCTAAAGGTGCGCCCCTCTTTCCATCACATTGTGGTGGTCCCCGGGCTAGGGGTGGCCACCACGGCTCTTTCCCCACATGGGGTTACCCTAGAGTGGCTGGTGGCCCCCCTTTGTCACCCAAACCTGTCCCCTCCCTCGGGAGCTCCATGGGTGTGGACAGGGCCCCTGGGAGCCCCAGGGTGGGTTTAGTGGCCCCGGTGTCACCCCCTGACCCCGGTGGCTTCCTCCATGCCCAGGGGGCTCACGTCACCATCAACGCCCGGGCCGAGGAGGACGTGGAGCCCCAGCTCATCATGGAGAAGGTGGCCAAGGCCTCGGGGGCCAACTACAACTTCCACAAGGAGAGCAGCAGGTTCCAGGACGCGGGCCCGCAGGCCCCTGTGGTGAGTTGGGACTGGGGGAAGCTTCCTGGACCCCCTGGGCTGGCGGTGGGGCAGGGGCAGAGCACCCATCACCATCACCCTGAGGTGGAAGGGGCTCCCCATGCTTTGGCATGGCCAAAGAGGTGCCCATGAGGCTGAGGAGGAGCCCGTGAGGATGAGGAGGAGCCCATGAGGATGAGGAGGAGCCCATGAGGCCCAGGAAGAGCTGATGAGAAGGAGCCCATGGGGATGAGGAGGAGCCCGTGAGGTTGAGGAGGAGCCCATGAGGTTGAGGAGGAGCTCATGAGAATGAGGAGGAGCCCATGGAGATGAGGAGGAGCCCATGGGGAGGAGGAGGAGCCCATGAGGTTCACGAGGAGCCCATGAGGTTCATGAGGAGCCCATGAGGATGAGGAAGAGCGCATGAGGTTGAGGAGGAGCCCATGAGGATGAGGGGGAGCCCATAAGGATGAGGAGGAGCCCATGACCCTGCTCCGTGCCGGACCCTCGTTGTCCCCCTGCCCCGTTTTGGGGTGACCATTTCCATGTGTCCCAGTCAATTCTTTGCTGGCTGTTCCAGCCTGGGCTCTGCAGTGCTTCAACAGCCTGATTTTGGCTCTAGGCAAGAGGAAAAGCAGTCTGGAAGCGCCCATTTTTGACTCTTCTTTAAAATGTGGGACTAAGAGTCAGGTTTTAGCAACTTGTGAAATATCACAGACGGTGCTGAAGTGGGGCCGTGCTGGTTTTGCTGTTACATTCCATCACAAAATGTCTTTATTTCCATTTCTTGATGCTGAACACCTTCCATTGACCGTCTCAGCCCATCCTGCTGGGCCGTGTGGGCTGGGTGCCCCCCACACAGGGGCTCCAGTGGGCCCCGCAGCAGCAGGACAGCAGGTTCCAGAGCTGCCAGGAAGCCCTGGGGACGCGTTTCTGCCCACTAACGCCAAAATCACGGTTGCTCACACACACACACACCACCTTCTGCCTCCCTCCAGGGCTCCGTCTACCAGAAGACGAACGCGATGTCGGAAATCAAGCGAGTCAATAAGGACAATTTTTGGGCCAAAGCGGAGGTGGGTGCTGCGCTGCTCCGGTGGGACAGGGGATTTGGGTTTGGATGGGGGTTTCTCTCCGTCTGCGTCTTCCCTCTCATCCCTGGGCTCCCCTGCCTGGAGATGGGGATGCAGACCTCAGTCTTGAGGAGCAAAGTGCTTTTTGTCTCTATTTAATTTGGCTCAGGGCTGCTGGGATGGGCACAGGGGGACAGGGCTGGGTTGCAGCCTGCTCTTGGTAGGTGGCAAAGTCCATTTCATGAAGTAATTTGGTTGGAAAAGACCATTAAGCCTTTACATTTTGAAGTGATGGAGTCCAACCACGAACCCAGCACTGCCAACTCCACCACTAACCCCTGTCAGCACCTCATCTCCATGGATTTTAAACCCCTCCAGGGATGGGGACTCCCCCGCTGCCTTGGGCAGCCCCTTCCAATGCTTTGCAATCCAAATTAACCTGAATTAATTTCCATAGAGCATGGATCTATGGGATGTACAGGGTCATATGGGCTTTTAAACACCTCCAGGGATGGCGACTCCACCACCTCCATGCGCAGCAAGCTGGCTTGGTGTGTCTTTCCCACTCAGGCTGCTTTACACCGGGGTTTTGCAGTGGTTTAGCAATGAACATTTGGGGTGGGCAAACCAGGAGCTGCCTTGCAGGGACCGGGGGGAATTTCTCAGAGCGGGCAAGATGAAACCCAGGTCTTGTTGCACATCTTTCGTTAGAAAGACGAGGAGAACCGGCGGCTGGAGGAGAAGAGGAGGGCGGAGGAGGAGC